AATATTGGAAGAGGAATAGTTTGAAAGGGTGGGAGACAGAGATGAGAGAATAAGCTCATGTTTTTATGTATTGAGTTTGAAGTGCCTGTATGATATCCAGGTGAGGTGGAAAGAACTTGGGGCTGCAGATACATTTGGAGTCATGAAAATTTGGGTGCTTAGGTCTGTGAATGAAGTTTCAGTAAGAAGATGGAAGGCCACGGCCGGGCGCGGTGGCTCAAGCCTGTAATCCCAGCACTTTGGGAGGCCGAGGCGGGCGGATCACAAGGTCAAGAGATCGAGACCATCCTGGTCAACATGGTGAAACCCCGTCTCTACTAAAAATACAAAAAATTAGCTGGGCGTGGTGGCGCGTGCCTGTAATCCCAGCTACTCAGGAGGCTGAGGCAGGAGAATTGCCTGAACCCAGGAGGCGGAGGTTGCGGTGAGCCGAGATCGCGCCATTGCACTCCAGCCTGGGTAACAAGGGTGAAACTCCGTCTCAAAAAAAAAAAAAAAAAAAAAAAAAAGAAGATGGAAGGCCTAAGGCTAGAATGGTGGGTGCACTAAGTTTGGTTCAGGCACAGAAATGGGAGTCCACAAAGGTGACCAAGACACAGGGCCAGAGAAGCAGGAAGAGTAGTCAGTAAATATCAAATACTACAAAGAGATCAGAAGTGAGGCTGATTGCGATGATCTTACGTATAAGCCAGTGCCATTCTGTTTCTGCAGAAGCCTGCTTTTGTAGGTTGAGGACGAGGAGTTTTGCACAGAAGAGGAGAGTAACAACTAATAAATGGGAGGAGGGGAGGAAAACGAAAGGAACCCCTCTTGCTTTGTTTTGGAATGTGTGTGTGTGTGTGTGCGTGTGTGTGTGAAGTAGAAGTCAAGTAAGGAGTAAGGAGAGGTGACGTGGATTGGGTGGGAGGCTCCAGGAGCACGGTGAAGGTATGGGATAGTAGCTCAGAAGATTGACTGAAGTACTAAAGTCAAGCAAAAGACAGCAGTGTTTTAGTAAAAGGAAGGTGACCAGATAACATATTTAGTAGTCATACTGCTCTGCAAGGTTAGCAGGGAAGTTAGAATGTGGGATCTATCCAAGTTGGACAGATGAAATGGGTAAGGGAACTACATTTTCACAGGAAGGTAAGTTAGGTGACCCATTATTGGTTTTACTTTGTTAGGCAAGAAGAGATAAAGTGGAATCTATCAATTTTTCTCAATCTTCACTGCTATTATCCTGGTTTAGTTCACCATCATCTGTTTTGCAATAATTTTCTCGTCAGTTGTCTCCCTAAATCTACTGTGCTTCTTCCAAACTCTTCTCATTGTAACCAGGGTGACTTTTAACAATTCAAATCTGATTATGTTCTACCTCTACATGCAACCCTTCAGTGGCTTCTCATGATGTCTAAGATCTCAAATCTTTAACAGGGTCCAGTAGGCCCTTTCTTCATCCTTCTGTAGCACCATTTTCATCTTTATGCTCCTTCCTGCCTTAGAACTTCGGTGGTGTTTCCCTTGCTTGGAGCATTCTTCCTTTCCCGATTTGTCTCTCCAGTTGCTGCTTAATCTTATTTCATAGATGGACCATAGTTTCCTTGGGGAAGCTTTTCCTGAATCTCTGTAGGAGATAACACTCTTCTATAACATTTCTTTTCTTTTTTTTTTTCTTTAAAGATGGGGTTTCACCATGATGGCCAGGCTGGTCTTGAACTCCTGACCTCAGGTGATCTACCCACTTCGGCCTCCCAAAGTGCTAGGATTACAGGCGTGAGCCACCGCGCCCGGCCAACTTTTCTTTATTATAATTGTGAAATTATTTGAAGAGATTATGAAACTAAGGCAGAAATGTTAGATGAATTGTGCAGGTGGATGTTGAAATTGCTCAGGAAGATGGTAGGATTTTGTGGGTTTTTTCTTCCCTGCTGGAAGCTTTTGAGGATAGGGATTGTGTGTAGTTCACTGTTGTGTTTTTAGTCCTGAGCATAGTGCCTCACACACAGGCACTCCAAATACTTTTGTTGAATTAATGAATAAGATGGGTAAGAGACTAGATGTCTTAGTGAGCAGGCAGGTTTAATAAAAGTAGAGAGGAAAAGCTGGAAGGAGGTGAGGTTGTGGCCAGAGTAAAATGTTTGAGTTTAAGATTTAGAGGTAGAATGGTTTCAGGAAATGGCAGAGTCCAGGTTTGAGTTGTTGTTATGGAGATGGAGGTGTTAGTATTAGAAGACATGAAATTCTAAGACAGAAATGTTAGGTGAGTTGTGCAGATGGCCTAAAATTGCTCAGGAAGATGGTAGGATTTAAAGTCATATAAGTGCCTTTGGTCCCAGCTACTCAGGAGGCTGAGGTGGGAGGATTGCCTGAGCCTGGGGGGTGGAGGTTGCAGTGAGCTGAGGATCGCCCTATTGTACTCCAGCCTAGGCGACAGATGGAGACGCCATCTCGGGGGGGAAAAATGTGATATAAGGCAGGTGTTATAAGTCTTTGATAAATATGAGGAATAGGCAGAACATTTTCCTGTGGTGAACCAATTAAATGAGTAAGAATCTGGGCAGTTTCAGGGATCAGTAATGCCCTAGTGTGGTACAGTGAAAGAGCATGAGTTCAGACTATCTAGGTTCAGACTTTGGGCCACCTATCTGACTCTTCAAGGCTTTTGTTTCTGTTTGTAAATTGGGAATAACGAGACCTGCTGCAAGAGTTTTGTCATTAATGAGTAAGAGTGTTTTTAGAAGTGCTTAACTAATATTAACTTCATTTTTACTCTTGACTGCTGTCATTCAAGATGGTATGGAAGTAGGGGTGATAGGCAAAGATAGCAGAAGCAAAATTTGAACAAGATAATTTATTCAGCATGTTAAGTTTATATGATGGGGTCAGCACAAATATTTATGAATGAATGTAGGTACAAGCAAGTACTGATATAAAGAAAGGATTTTGTAAAATAAAGGCCACTGCTTGGCTTATAACACCATTATGATATTGATCTACAACAAATGTTTATGTCAAGAAATGCTTTGTCTAATAGTTTTCCATGAAAATTCCATCATGCATGGGAAGTAGATTTTATTTTCCTGGAGAACAGAATAAAGATCGTTATGTGAAAGTTACGGTGGGGGCGGGGGGTTGGTGATATCTTTTGCTTTAGTTTAGAAAAGTGTTTTCTAACCATTCAAGCTGTCTAACAATAAAGTGGACATTATGGCAAAGTAATGAGGTCCTTATCAGACCTTGTTTTCAAGTGGAAACTACATGATTTATGTCAGAGATACAATAGAACGATTCTTGCAGAGGGCCAGTTATTTGGATTAAGAAATTGTTAAAGGCCCTTTCAGTTGGAAGATTTTGATGCCAGATGAGAATTGTCTTTTACACCATTCAATTAAATAGTTGAGAGCCTCCTGTGTTTTATTTGAAAGGTTGAAAGCCATTGTTTTTTTTTTTTTTTCTTCTTCCTCCTGTGTGCTAAGACAGAGCCAAAGACTCTGTGTGTATGTTTTTTTTTGTAACAGGGTCTCACTCTGTCACCCAGATTGGAGAGAAGGGGCATGATTGTCGCTCACATAGCCTTGATCTCCCAGGCTCAAGCAGTCTTCCCACCTCAGCCACTTGAGTAGCTGGGACTATAGGCACACACCACCATGCTTAGCTAGTTTAAAAAAAAAAAAATTGTAGGCCGGGCGCGGTGGCTCAAGCCTGTAATCCCAGCACTTTGGGAGGCCGAGGCGGGTGGATCACAAGGTCGAGAGATCGAGACCATCCTGGTCAACATGGTGAAACCCCGTCTCTATTAAAAATACAAAAAACCAGCTGGGCGTGGTGGCGCGTGCCTGTAATCCTAGCCATTTAGGAGGCTGAGGCAGGAGAATTGCCTGAAACCAGGAGGCGGAGGTTGCGGTGAGCCGAGATCGCGCCATTGCACTCCAGCCTGGGTAAGAAGAGCGAAACTCCGTCTCAAAAAAAAAAAAAAATTTGTAGAGGCACGGTCCCACTATGTTGTCCAGACTGGTCTCAAACTCCTGGGCTCAAGCTACCCTCTTGCCTCAGCTTCTCAAAATGCTGGGATTACAGGCAGGAGCCACTGTGCCCAGCCCAAACTTTTTTTTTTTTTTTTTTTTTTTTTTAAATAGAGTCTTGCTCTGTTGCCCAGGCTGGAGTGCAGTGGTGCCATCTCAGCTTACTGCAGCCTCCACCTCCCTAGTTTAAGTGATCCTTCTGCCTCAGCCTCCCTAGAAGCTGGGAATAGCCATCATGCCTGGCTAATTTTTATATTTTTAGTAGAGACGGGGTTATACCATGTTGGCCAGGCTGGTCTCAAACTCCTGACCTCAGGTGATCTGCCTGCCTCGACTTCTCAAAGTGCTGGAATTACAGGTGTGAGCCATCATGCCTAACCAAACACTGTGTTTTAATCATTGCCTTTGGTATTTCCATTTGGAATTTGAAAAGCTTAAGCCAGGTATTAGTGGTGATGTAACAAAAGCTGTTGTTCTCACTTGTTGGGGTTAGGTCAGGGTCCACAGTATGCACCTGGAGACATAAAATATAAAAATGTGCTGTTAAGAAGTTTGGCTTAGTGCCTCAAATTTTTGCTAAAGAGCAGAGCATTCTAGAAAATGTTTAACCTGTAAATTATTTTGTTAAAATGTTTTTTGAAAAGAATGGCCTGTGTGCTATGTTGATGTGAGCTCTATGATGCCATAACACTGGTTTTCATTCACTTCTCTCACTCAGAAGTCTGTGTCTGGCTGTGAAATTGCCTACATGCCTATGGCTTAGTCAACTCTTTTCCTTTCTGCTGAGCACCTGTTTGTGATTGCTATTTTGTGTACTTACTGTATATTTCTCACATTCTCTCAGAACATTACTAAATTGGCTTTACAGTTGCATTACTTTTTTTTTTTTTTTTGGACATAGAGTCTTGCTCTGTCACCCAAGCTAGGGTGCATTGGCGTGATCTCAGCTCACTGTAACCTTCACCTCCCGTGTTCAAGCGATTCTCCTGCCTCAGCCTCCTGAGTAGCTGGGACTACAGGTATGTACCACCACCCTGAGCCAATTTTTTATAGTTTTAGTAGAAACAGAGTTTTACCATGTTAGCCAGGATGGTCTCCATCTCCTGACTCCACTTCATGATCCGCAGGCCTCAGCCTCCCAAAGTGCTGGGACTACAATCATGAGTCACCGCACCTGGCCACATTACTTTTTTTTTTAAAGAAAGAAGATTAGGCCGGGCGCGGTGGCTCACGCCTATAATCCAGCACTTTGGGAGGCTGAGGTGGGTGGATCATGAGGTCAAGAGATCAAGACCATCCTGGTCAACATGGTGAAACCTCGTCTCTACTAAAAATAGAAAAATTAGCTGGGCATGGTGGCAGGTGCCTGTAGCTGAGGCAGGAGAATTGCTTGAATCCAGGAGACAGAGGTTGTGGTGAGCCGAGATTGTGCCATTGCACTCCGGCCTGGGTAACAAGAGTGAAACTCCGTCTCAAAAAAAAGAAAGAAGATTAAAATTTATTTTGCAGCTATGCGCTTGGTTTTGGATTATTCATGTGTATAAGTTATTTGAGCTACTACCACTTCCTGTAACCTAAGGCTGTGGCTAAAATGGGTTTGGAGAAGAAATTCTTGCCTGTATTGGGGAGGGGGGGGATTTATTCATCTATTAATTCTGAAGGTATTTAATTCCTAATTCCTCAAGGTAAGGGACTAATTTACTTTATATCTTGACATTTTACATTTGAAGAATCTTAGACCAAAAATTCTTTATGTATTAGTAGTTCTTTCTGATAATTATGATATTGAAACTCAGGTAAATTTAACATTAATAATATCTAGACTGATAGACAGTCAAAGATAATAGATATGAGGCTGTAGTGAACTGAAGAAGTTTATTTTTTAAACCTTGAAAGTATCTTAGGAGCCATCTAATCCAAGTCTAGGTTATAGAAGAGGCAACTGAAACCCTGTAAGTAATTTGACCAAAGTCACCTAGTTAATACATAGAGGTGTATGTAGGTAAACTCACATAATGTGAGGGTGGTGAGAGTAGTGACAGCGTGGTTGACGTCCCTTTAGAAGGGAGAGTTTTTAAAACTTAGAAATAGAAGGGTGATAAGAAGCACCGTAGAATTTCTGATCTGGTAAGCTTCAAATTGGTTGGTTTGTTGGTAGCTGATGTGGAAGTTGGCTTAGTCATTGAATCATTTATTCATCAGGCATTTGACTACATGCTATATTATAGATGCTACACTAGATGTTGGAGCTACAAAAATGAAGAAATCGTGTCCCTGCACTCATGGATCTTTTGTACTACTAGAACAGGACAAGAGAGAATACTTTCTATTTTGCCATCTCTCTCTCTCTCTCTCTCTCTCTGTCTCAAAAAAAAAAAAAAAAAAAATCCAGTTTTAGCAAGTTCATGACCTGCTGATTTTATAACCCACAAATCTTTTGTATTTGCCTTGTCCCTTAGTGCTTTCAAGAATTAGACTTTGACCTTTCCCAAAAGGCAGGGGATTGGTGGGTATGGTAGGGCAAGTGTACCTGGCAACTTTATGAATGACTCTTCTGTAGAAAGCTGAAAACCTGGCAGAATTTGGTCAGAGATTTTACTTCACTCTATTATTGTTTCCCCAGTTGGGACTTTTAACCTCAGAGGAATGTTGGATTGGTGCCAGGCTGTCAGGTCAGGGACGTAGTTCTGCCAGAGTCTGGAAGAGGAGATCTTTTTCAGTTAAACTTACTTGGCAGTCATCTGTCCTGAATGGAGAAAGGGGTGTTTTGGAGTAGACATGTTTCCTAGGTTCATAAGATTAATAGAGATTGACTCTTGTTATGAACCTTTGGGGTCCCCACTCTGCTTTGTGGAATAGCTTATTTAATTTAATTAATTAATTAATTATTATTTATTGAGATGGAGAGTCGCTCTTTCACCCAGGCTGGAGTGAAGTGTCATAATCTTGGCTCACTGCAACCTCTGCCTGCTGTGGGTTCCAGTGATTCTCCTGGCTCAGCCTCCTGAGTAGCTGGAATTACAGGGGCACACAACCCAGCTAATTTTTGTGGTTTTCGTAGATACGGGGTTTCGCCGTGTTGGCCAGGCTGGTCTCAAACTCCTGACCTCAGGTGATACCTGCCTCAGCCTCCCATAGTACTGAGATCAAAGGCGTGAGCCACTGCACCTGACCTATTCATGTATTTTGAATAGTTTTAGCTATTAATTAACTCCTCTGCTAGCATCAAAACACTAGTTAACTCTGAAATGATCCAGTGTATAGTAATTGTTCATTCATTCAAGAAATATCTACTGACAGCCAGTGTTCCTCGCACTGTGCCAGGTGATACATGAAGAGGATACATTAGTGAAGGAGACATACAAGTTTCCTGCCTTCAAGAAACTTATATATTAGAGGAGATGGCTAGACAGCAACTAATTAAAATGATTTGATAGTATTCAAGTGCCAGGAAGGAAATAAACAAGGTACCATGTTAGAGACTATTGCAGGTAGGGGATTCCTTTTATTTTTATTTTTAATTTTTTTTGTTTTCCTTTTTAAATTAATTTCTGCCTTTATTCCATTGTTAAGTGGGGAGTTCTTTAGGGTTGGTAGCCTGTTGCTTCCTTCCTTTAGTTTGGATAAGCAAACTCATGGTAGAAAAGCAGTACTCAGGAAAAGTACAGGGAAAGCATTATTCAAAGTGGCATTATAGGTTACTGGTTAATGCAGGTTTTAAGATATTAATGTTGCCCGGGTGCAGTGGCTCACGGCATGGTAATCCCAGCACTTTGGGAGGCTGAGGTGGGTAGATCACAAGGTCAGATGATCGAGACCATTCTGGCCAACATAGTAAAACCCCGTCTCTACTAAAAATACAAAATATTAGCTGCGTGTGGTGGCCCATGCCTGTAGTCCCAACTACTCTGGAGGCTGAGGCAGGAGAATTGCTTGAGTCCAGGAGGCAGAGGTGGCAGTGAGCCGAGATTAAGTCACTGCTCTATGGCCTGGCGCCTGACGAAAGAGCAATATTCTGTCTCAAACAAACAAACAAACAAAACCAGATACTAATATTAATGAAGAGTTAGGAAATAAAATGTTACTCTTCGTAATTTTAAACTGCTATCAACTTAAATGAATGAGCTAGGATAGTTTCCCCATTTGGTTAGGAAGCTGCTGACATGGGGCTGTGATTATCCTGTTCCAGCGTAATTTGAGCCTTATGTATTTATTTCTTCCTCAGGTAGAGGCCTGAATTTTGAACTTTGTTCTACCTACATCCAGCTGCCTGAAAGTACTTAATGATCACATGACCCTGGACATGGATGCTGTCCTGTCGGATTTTGTCCGTTCCACAGGAGCAGAGCCAGGGCTGGCGCGAGATCTCCTAGAAGGTGAGGGGTCGTAGGGGAGAATGAGAAAAGAATAAGTAAAATGTGGTATTTATCATTAGGATGATTTGGAACATTTAAGGTGATCAGAAAGATACCCTGTGTATGGTAGGCCTTACAGTTAATTCTAATGATATAATTGTGTATAACCCATCATAATTTAAAAATTTAAAATCCCTTTTTCACATTGAACTTCCTGGTGTAGCTTTTTCTACTTGATGCTCAGGCAATGGAAGTGAAATTTATATTAGTCCATTACAAACATTATTTTATTTTATTTATTTATTTTTTTGAGACAGAGTCTTGCTCTGTTGCCCAGGCTGGAGTGCAGTGGCATGATCTTGGCTCACTGCAACCTCTGCCTTCCGGGTTCAAGCAATTCTCTCCTGTCTCAGCCTCCTGAGTAGCTGGAATTACAGGTGCCCACCACCACACATGGCTGATTTTTGTATTTTTTAGGAGAGACAAGGGTTCACCATTGCTGGCCAGGCTGGTCTTGAACTCCGCACCTCAAGGGATCTGCCTGCCTCGGCCTCACAAATTGCTGAGATTACAGACATGAGCCACCGTACTCGGCCTAAAAACATAAGTTTAGATCTGTAAGACTTCCTTCTTTATATATAAATGACTTCAGAGGTTTTCATGCTTGGGATCATCCATGGTTTTGTTCGTTCTTTATGTTACATATGGGTAATTCCATGTTGAGTGAATCAATTTAATGTTTTCATTTTGCTGCTTTTGTTTACTTATATTTTTATATACATAAGTTTGAATGTTCTAAACTTTAAGGTCCTAAAGTGTTAGAATCATGTCCCTGGGATTCTTCGTTTAGAGTCACAAATAATAGATGAAAATATGAAAATATATAATGACACAAACAGGCAGGCCTATGGGGAAGGGGCAGGTTCTTAGCATACATAGGTAATATTTTAAATTGTCAGCCCTTAGCAAGATGTCACAATTTGACATTTGCTTGGCTACCTGTGAGAAGAGCATGAATTTGGAAACAGAAGATCAGGGTTTTCATTTCCAGTTTACTAATTCAGTACAACTTTGCCCTTAATTTGCATTTTCAGTTTCATCTCCTACTACTTTTTCCTGTACTTCCTGTGCTCCAGCCAGGCCCGACTTGTGACCTCTCGGTGATCATGTCAGGTTACTTCCTCAGTCTGCAACATTTCTTTCCTCTATTATTCTCCTCATCCTTCAACATTCAGCTCAAATGTTTCCTCTTTCATAAAATCCTTAACCTTTCTGCATTCCTCTTACAAGATATGTTGAACACTTAAGAGTGTTCAATATGTGCATAGTACTTGAAGATACTTTATTCTCACAACCACCCTAAAATAAAGTTTTATTATCCTGGAGTTAGAATTTTAAAACCTGAGGCTCAGTGAAGTTAAGTAGGATTTGAACCTAGGCAATCTGGTTTTGGAATATGGCTCTAAACAATTACGTTACAAATTATTGCTAGCATGCAGGCATGTGTGCGCTCTCTCTCTCTCTCTCTCTCTCTCTCTCTCTCTCTCTCTCTTTCTCTGTCACATGCTGTGAAAGAAATGTTGAGGATGCTGTGAGAGTGAAGCGAGAACCCTAACTTAGATCTAGAGGGCAGGAAAGCCTTTTCTGAGGAGTGATTTTTAAGCCAAGCCCTGAAGGACAAGTAGGAGTAGCAAGACAGAGGGATGTAGAAGAGAGTGTTTATGTGTAATAAACAGCTTATGCAAGGGCCCTAAGTTGCAAGAGAGTTTGGCTTATTGGAAAAACTATTAATAATTGTGATATTAAGAGTGGTGCAAGAGGCCGGGCACAGTGGTTCTTGCCTGTGATCCCAGAACTTTGGGAGGGTGAGGTAGACCTATCACCTGAGGTTGGGAGTTTGAGACCAGCCTGACCAACATGGAGAAAACCTGTCTCTACTAAAAATACAAAATTAGCCAGGCGTGGTGGTGCATGCCTGTAATCCCAGCTACTTGAGAGGCTGAGTCAAGAGAATTGCTTGAACCCAGGAGGCAGAGTTTGCAGTAAGCTAAGATTGCACCATTGCACTCCAGCCTGGGCAACAAGAGCGAAACTCCATCTCAAAAAAAAAAAAAAAAAAAAAAAAAAGAATGGTGCAAGAGCGGTAGGCAGCTGCTTAGACAGGCAGGAAGCAGAAAATAGGGGCTCTAGCCAGGTATGATGGCATTCACCTGTAATCCTAGCTACCTGGGAGGCTGAGGTGGGATGATAGCTTGAACCCAGGAATTTGAGACCAGCCTGGGCAACATAGCGAGACCTCATCTCTTAAGAAAGAAAAAAAGAGGCCGGGTGTGGCGGCTCATGCCTGTAATTGCAGCACTTTAGGGGCTGAGAGGCAGGTGATCACCTGAGGTAAGGAGTTTGAGACTAGCCTGGCCAACATGGTGAAACCCCATCTCTACTAAAAATACAAAAATTAGCTGGGCGTGGTGGCACACAGTCTGTTATTCCAGTTACTTGAGAGACTCAGAGAGGAGAATCGCTTGAACCCAGGAGGCAGAGGTTGCAGTGAGCCGAGATAGTGCCACTGCACTCCATCCTGGGCGATGGCAAGACTGGGTCTCAAAAAAAAAAAGAAAAAAAAAGTTAACTAATTGTATTGCAATAGGACTGTTTGGCTTTTGTTTTGTTTTGTTTGAGATAGGGTCTCACTTTGTCATCCAGGCTGAGTGCAGTTGTGTGATCTCAGCTCACTGCAACCTCCGCCTCCTGGGCTCAAGTGATCCTCCCACCTCAGCTTCCTGAGTAGCTAAGACCACAAGCGCACACCATCACACCTGGCTAATAGGACTGTTCAATACTGATAATTGAAAAGAAGGAAAGAAATCAAAAGCTAACTGATTGTAGAGCAAAGAGATTAGAAGCAGAGAGACCAGATAGAGTTCCTTCCTAAAAGACCAAAGACTAAGTAAAGATTATGAGGACCTCAAGTAGGGCAGTGGCAATAAAAATGGATAATAGGAAATGGATTTGAGAGATGTTTTAGGAGTACAAACAACCATGAAGATTGTGCGATCTGAGGAAACGTGAGGAGCTGAAAATGACTGAAGTTTCAGGGCCTGGAGGGATTGTGATGCCATTGCTGATTTAGGAAACATAGGAAGAGGAGAAGCAGCAAGCTTTGGGAAAGAAACTGATGGATATTCAATTTGGCCCTGTGGATTGTTAGGAGGACCTGATTTTTAGGAGATTTGCAGACAGTTGGAAATTCAGATTTGATCCTCAAGGCAGATGTCACTCATTCATGCATTGATTCAGGAGAAGAGTTCTCCATTAATTCAGCAAATATTTATTGAGTGACTACTATGTGTCAGGTACTGTTCTAGATGCCTAAAACAAAATAAACAAAATATTCTAGCAGGAGAGTTAGTCAATAAACAACAAACATGATATAAAGCATATTATAAGCTGTCAAGTGCTATGGAAGAGAGTAAAGGGAATGATGAAGTGGTTGTGATTTTTAATTGGGTAGTCAGGGTAGACCTTACTAACAATGTGATGTTTAAGTAAATCCCTAAAGCTGATGAGGAGCTGTCTGTGTGGATATACCGGGGAAAGAGCCTTCTAGGTAGAGGGAATAGTCAGTGGAAAAGCCCTAGAGTGGGAGTGGACTTAGCATGTTCTAGGAACAGCAAGGTCAGTGGTGACTGGAGCAGAGTGAGCAAAGGGAGTCAGAACAACTGGCTAACGTAATGATTTAGAAGGAAAATCATCAGTAATGGTTTAGAAGGAAAATTTTAAGTAAACCAAGCACGATTCTAAGTGCTTTCAACTTACTTAATCTTCGTAACGACTCTGTCAGGTAAGCACTGTTACTGTCACCTGCATTTTCACAGATAAGGAAATCGAAGCACAGCGAAGAGGCAGAAAAGTAGGCCAGAACATAGAAAGCCTTGAGTTTCAGGCCAAAGAGACGAAGTTTTATTCTGTAGGCAGTGGCAGGCCATTAAAATCTTGATTATTGAACTAAAATGATCACAACTGTGCTTTAGAAAGATTAATCTCATGGGATTCTTTGGAATGGATTGGAGGTAGGACAGTAGGTGACAGGAATTGAATTAAGGTGGTAGCAGGTGGAATAGAACAAGAAAGAGGTGTGAGTAATTATACAATGCTTATTTATTGAATAATTTAACTGGAGAAAGCATCAGAAAAATCCATCATGACAAATCTATCATCAAAGGTCATTTCTTTAGTAGAATGGTGATTCTTAAATTTGGGGGAAATACAGATTCCTTTGATAAGTGGATGATAGCTGTAAACTCTTTGACTAGAAAATGCACAAGCCCATGATCTTCTATGCAGGTTCAGTGTTTAGGATACACTAGAGTACATGTAGGCTAAGAACCTCTTTGGATCTCAGAATTAGGGGACGTGGGATTGAGTCCTGCTGGGTCTAGTGTGAATTAGCTGACTTTGGGCAATAATTTACTTCTCCGGGTTTTGTTTTCTTTATCTGTAAAAGGAAGTTTTAATTTTAGGTTACTAGATCTTTAAGGGCTCTTTTAGTTCAGAGAGACAAAGTTTCTATCTTCGTGGAGCTTACTTACGAAATAGACAACAAATAAGTAAGTAAAGGCATTAGATAATTAGATTGAAGTGTTAAAAAAAATTAAAACAGGGTAAGGAAAAGAACAATGATTGAAATGTGCATGCGTATATGCTTGCTGGTTTTGATGGGATAGTTAGTGTGATCTTTGTGTCTCTCCCCGCAGTTTCTCTATACTCTGGATGCACAGTTCCCTTTTTGCTTTGTCTCCTGACAGGAAAGAATTGGGATGTGAGTGCTGCCCTCAGTGATTTTGAACAGCTACGTCAAGTCCATGCTGGGAACCTACCTCCATCCTTTAGTGAAGGAAGTGGTGGCTCCAGGACCCCTGAAAAAGGGTTTTCTGACAGAGAGCCTACTCGCCCTCCCCGACCCATCCTCCAACGGCAGGATGACATCGTTCAAGGTACTGGGGTGACTGGGGAATGTTTCTGTATATGGAGTAGGAAGGGAGCGGACTGTTAAATGGAGTCATAAAGTCTAGTGATCCATTGGAGGTGATTGCATTGTCTCCCCTCCTCCCAGCTGAACCCAGATTGAGGTGGCCTCAGTCTGCCCGGGTGCCGTAGTCCCTCGCTGTGTCTCTGCATCTTTAGTGTCACTCTGTATAAAAGCCTTCCTCAGATACTGTGAAGGAAATAGAGGAAGGAGGATAACAGTGTGCTTGTTGATGTAAAGTTCACATAAAGGTAGAACTGAAAGAGTTCCTACCTCTTTGGGGGGTAATTTGTTATTATTGCCCAATATCTTATCAAAATTAAAATGCACACTCTTTGACTCAGCAATTTCATATCTAGGAATTTATCATATATATGTATGTGCACATATATATCCTTTAAATAAAGAAATACATAGGCCAGGCGTGGTGGCTCACTATTGTAATCCCAGCACTTTGGGACACCGGGGTGGGCGGATTACCTGAGGTCTGAGACCAGCCTGGTCAACATGGTGAAACCCCATCTCTATTAAAAATAGAAGCATTAGGTGGGCATGGTGGTATAGTCCTGTGATCCCAGCTACTCAGGAGGCTGAGGCAGAAGAATCACTTGAACCTGGGAGGCAGAGGTTGCAGTGAGCTGAGATTGTGCCACTGCACTCCAGCCCAACGACAGAGCAAAACTCCATCTCTAAATAAATAAATAAATAAATAAATAAAAATTTTAAAAGATACATAAATGCAGTAGATAAGGATATTCACAGCAGCATTATTTTACAGTAATTAAATATTGAAACTTTGTTTTTTTTCTCAAGGCAATCCATCTGCCTTGGCCCCCTGAAGTGCTGGGTTACAGGTATGAGCTACCACGCCTGGCTCTGAAAACATTTAATGTCCATTAGTAAAGGAGTGGTTAAGTAAATTGTAATCATCCATATTGTGTAATACTCTGCAGTCATTAGAAAGAATTAGGTAGAACTTGGTGCACTGTTTTGGAAAAATTTCTAAAATCAATTCAGAAAGGGACTGGGTGTGGTGGCTCATGCCTGTAATCCCAGTACTTTGGGAGGTCAAGGCTGGTGGATCATCTGAGGTCAGGAGTTCAAGACCAGCCTTGCCAACATGGTGAAACCCTGTCTCTGCTAAAATTAGAAAAATAAGTACATACCTGTAATCCCAGCTACTTGGGAGGCTGAGGCAGGAGAATTGCTTGAGCCAGGAGGCAGAGGTTGCAGTGAGCCGAGATGGCGCCACTGCACTCCAGCCTGGGTGACAAAGACACTACATGAAAAAACAAAAAGTTTTCTGAAAGGTAAGACACAATGCAATGTATGTAGCATACAGTGTACTCTTATTTGTGTTTTAAAAGATGATTTTAGCCAGGCATAGTGGCTTACACCTGTAATCCCAGAACTTTGGGAGGCTGAGGCGGGCGGATTACCCGAGGTCGGCAGTTTGAGACTAGCCTGACCAACATGGAGAAACTCCATCTCTACAAAAAATACAAAATTAGCTGGCCGTGGTGGTGCGTGCCTGTAATCCCAGTTACTCAGGAGGCGGAGCCAGGAGAACTGCTTGAACCCAGGAGGCAGAGGTTTTGTTGAGCCAAGATCGCACCATTGTACTCCAGCCTGGGCAACAAGAGCAAAACTCCATCTCAAAAAAAAAAAAAAAAAAAAAAGATTTTGAAAGCTATATATGCACAAAAATTTCTAGAAGGATACAAAAGTTTGCTTCTTGGGAAAGGATCAGGAATTTTGAATGAAAAGAAGACTTCCTTGTGAAATCATTTTATACCTTTTGATAGTATATTGATTTTTTAAATCATAGGCATGTGGTACTTTTTTTAAGGCAGGGTCTTGCTCTGTGTCCCAAGGCTGGAGTGAGGCTGGTGGAACACAGCTCCCAGTAGCTGGGACCATGGGCATGCACCACCTAGCCTAGCTAAATTTTTGATTCTTTATAGAAATGAGGTCTCACTCTGTTGCCCAGGCTGATCTAGAACTCCTGAGCTCATATGATCCCTCCACCTTGGCTTTCCAAAGTTTTGGGATTACAGGTGTGAGCCACCATGCCCAGCCTACATGGTAGTTTCAGAATACCTAAAAAATATTTTTAAGGTGGGCATGGTGGCTCACGCCTGTAATCGCAGCACTTTGGGAGGCCAAGGCTGGCAGGTCACTTGAGACCAGCATGGCCAACATGGAGAAACTCCGTCTCTACTAAAAATACAAAAAAAATTTGCTGGGCATGTTGGCACGTGCCTGTAATTCTTCCGGCTACTCAGGAGGCTGAGGCAGGAGAATTGCTTGAACCTGGGAGACGGAGGTTGCAGTGAGTCAAGATTGCAGCACTGCACTCTAGCCTGAGTGACAGAGCCAGACTCCATCTCAAAGAACAAAAACAAGGCCAGCACAGTGGTTCACACCTGTAATCCCAGCACTTTGGGAGGCCGAGGCGGGCGGATTACCTGAGTTCAAGACCAGCCTGGCCAACATAGTGAAACCCCATCTCTACTAAAAATTAAAAAATTAGCTGGGTGTGGTGGTGGGCACCTGTAATCCCAGGTACTCAGGAGGCTGAGGCAGGAGAGTTGCTTGAACCCTGGAGGCAGAGGTTGCAGTGAGCTGAGATCACGCCATTGCACTCCAGCCTGGGCAATAAGCGTGAAGCTCTGTCTCAAAAAGAAAAACAAAAAACAAAACTAAAAAATATTTTAAAAATAAAATTAGTTTAGACAACTCAGTTTATTTTGTGCATCATCTCTGGCAAATACTGTATTAAGAGGCTACCCAACATGCTTTAGAAATTTTCCCCTGTGGATCATCATTAAATCATTACATAACTGAAGCCATGCAAATGAACTGTAATACTACATTGAACAAATTATAGTTACAGTGGTATATCTGCTTGGGAATTACAAGTGTCATGTGTTCGAAACAAATTAAATGATATGGGATACTGTCTACATTATTGTTCTCCTCTATAGACTGTTTAAGAACTGACTGTCCCTATAAATTTCTGATAAATATGAGTATTGAGAAAAGTTTTAGTAAGCAATATAAGTAAATGTTATTGATGCAGGAAGAAAGTTCCCAAATGTGTAAGATATGTTGTTTATTTTATTTTATTTTATTTTGAGATGGGGGTTTCTCTCTATTATCCAGGCTGGGGTGCAGTGGCACAATCTCGGGTCACTGCAGCCTCCACCTCTCAGGTTTAAGCAATTCTCCCACCTCAGCCTCCCAAGGGATTACGGGGGTGCACCACCACACCGGCTAATTTTTGTATTTTTAGTAGACACTGGGTTTTACATGTTGGCCAGGCTGGTCTCGAACTCCTGACCTCAGGTTATCCGCCCACCTCAGCCTCCCAAAGGATTTTCTTTTCTATAATGGAAAAAGATTTCCACTATAGACAAGTGCTTTCCAGGACCTTGAGAATTACCAGAAAGATTATTTGACTAACTCCAGTGAAACCTCACTTCCGTTATTCCCTTCTCGTCTCACCAAACAATGACCAACTTGCTAAATGAATGGGTCCCTATCACATTGGGAAATGGAAGTGGAGGAAGACAGAGTCAGAGGGAGGGGAAGACGAGGCAAATTCCAGACAAGAGTAGAAAGAGAAATGGATATTTGGTGCTAATGTGAGTGCCTGCAAAATATTTTCTATATTTCTCTAAACAATTGGCTTCACAAAAAGGGTTGTGAAATTCACCAGTCAGTTAGACTTAGTTTTTCTCTGACTAAACCCTGTTGAGAGGTAACTATCAGCACATCAACTGGAGAGTTCTCCAAGTGGGCTGTGTATGTTCTAAGGTGACTCCATTTCTCATTGCAGAAAAACGCCTGTCTAGGGGCATCTCCCACGCCAGCTCCAGCATTGTTTCCCTGGCCCGGTCCCATGTCTCCTCCAATGGTGGGGGTGGGGGGAGCAATGAGCACCCCCTGGAAATGCCCATCTGTGCCTTCCAGCTTCCAGATCTTACTGTGTATAATGAAGACTTCCGCAGCTTCATAGAGAGAGATCTCATTGAGCAGTCCATGCTGGTTGCCTTGGAACAGGCAGGTCAGTGATTGCTTCCTTTCCCATGCTTTTCCCGCTCTACTCTCCACCTACAGGCAGCCATATGGACGGTCTGGGCTTGATCAGTAGCTTCCAGTTGTGGTTCAGTAGATCCAGTGTATGATCTGATTGCAGTCAAAGTCAGGAGTCAGTGGGATGAACTTGTGCTGATGTTAAAGAAAAGATACAGATTAGATACTTTACTCTGGAAATTTCCTGTTTGTTGGAAGAGAAACCAGATACACAAATGCAAAGGCCTAGGAATCAATACTTGAAATCAATGCATGAAAAAAATAAACAACTAATTATAACTGGCCCTGGAACACCCTTGTGAACAGAAAGGCTAATGCTGTAGGTGATGCACAGTAGTGAACCTGTCCCCCCAAATTTATTGACCTTTGTAATAGTGTTTATCTTCAATTATTACTAAAATTAATTCTTGTCATAGGGTGAGGCAGCTGGAAGTTCTGGAAAAGCTTATCAGGCATTAAAATGCTTGCATGGGAGAAGGACTGGAGTTAATGGGGGCATGAAAGGAAGCTTTTATTTTTCGTTTTGTAACCTAATCACATACATCTATGGGTAATTTTTTTTTCTTTTTTCTTTTCTGATAAGAAAGCTTTGTTGTTACCAGAAATTTGTAATTTTTTTTAAAGTTAGTAAATTATCACGGCTGGGGAGATTATAAGCCACTTTTTCTTTAAGTAGTTCAAGAAACTAGGCTCCACAGTAGTTCAAGAATACTTACGCATCACTCATAAAATATTCTCCTCATGTAAATAATGGGTTGGCAACTGTGGGATGACTGTACGGAATTACGACTTGTTTTCTTGGGTATTTTATGTACTTTGTCTTATTGCTTATGCTTTTTAAAGTCACACCCCACACATGCTGACATGCTGTCATATGTGCAGATGGTACTCATAAGACACTTTAAATACATGCTTTGAGTTGTTTTTGTTTTGTTCATGATGGATTTTTGCTGAGCTTTGTTGCTGTAATATATACTGGTCTCCTGAGTGGAGGGAAGGAATCAGAGCCGGTCCAAGCAGTCAAGTTTCAACTTAGTCCTTGGCCTCGCCATTTAACCCAGGGTTTCTCAACCTTGGCACTACTGACATTTTGGTCTAGACAATTCTTTGTTTTGCAGGCTGCCTTGTGCATTATATCATGGTTAGCAGTATCCTTGGCCTCTACCCATTGGATGCCAGTAGGATTCCCCTACCAGTTGTGACATGCAAACGTATCTTCAGTCATTGCCAGTGTCCCTTTGGGACAAAATTGATCTACTCACTGATCTAACCGATTGTGCTCACAAGTTTCTGACTGACTAAATATAAGTGAAGAAGATGTGAAGAGTAATCGAGTGATGGTTTTATTCTTGGTAGGCCTCCTAGAGGAGGCTGCTTTGGAGTCTGTTTTAGAAATACAGTGGGAAGGGCTTCATGGATAATCTACTCCTTTTTCTCCACTATCTTCCTTTCTACAGGGCGTTTGAACTGGTGGGTGAGTGTGGACCCCACCTGTCAGAGGCTGCTTCCTTTGGCAACAACTGGAGATGGGAACTGCCTCTTGCATGCAGCCTCCCTTGGTGAGTCTTGAAAGCAGTACTCCATTCCCCTGCAGAAAGGAAGCAATTGAGTCAAATCTCATGTGTAGGACTCCATCCAGACAATCTTGATCTTAGGCAGAAGTGATAGTTCAGATCAAGATTGTGTGTGCTTACGTGTGTGTGTGTGTGTGTGTGTGTGTGTGTGTGTGTTTATGTGTTTATGTTGGTGCAAGAGGAAATGGGAGTGAACCGTACTTTTGCTAGTTAGATAGTGAAGGAAGCACAGGTATTGGCTTGGGCCAGCTCTGAGAGCTGACCCAGGGAGTAATGAGTAGGGAGCAACCCAGCAACGTATAGCTAGATGTGTGTATGTGTTCAGTTCTACTTAATATTTATTCTTTTGGTGTATGAAAAAGATATGGTTTTAGCAGTCCTTTGTGACACACGCTTACTTTATTTATTTACATGTTTAGAGACTAAGTTTCGCTCTGTCAGAGTCTCGCTCTGTCACCAGGCTGGAATGCAGTGGTGGTTCTTGGCTCACTGCAACCTCTGCCTCTCAGGTTCAAGGGATTCTCCTGCCTCAGCCTCCTGAGTAGCAGGGACTGCAGGTGTGCACCACCACGCCCAGCTAATTTTGTATTCATAGTAGAGAAGAGTTTCACCATGTTGGCCTGGATGGTCTTGATCTCTTGACCTTGTGATCCACCTGTCTTGGCCTCCCAAAGTGCTGGGATTATGGGCATGAGCCACTGTGCCCGGCCCATTTAGTTTTTGAGACAGAGTCTCACTCTGTTGCCCAGGCTGGACCTCTGCCCCTGGGTTCAAGTGATTCTCCTGCCTCAGCCTCTCAGGTGTCCGGGATTACAGGTAGGAGCCACTGTGCTGTGCTGTAAATAGGCTTAATAATTTAAAGTAAGGACTAGGTGCAGTGGCTAGTGGCTCATACCTGTAATTCCAACACTATGGGAGGCCAAGGTGGGCAGATAACTTGAGGCTAGGAGTTCGAGACCAGCCTAGCCAACACGGTGAAACCCCGTCTCTACTAAAAGTAAAAAAATTAGTGGGGCATGGTAGCGGGCACCTGTAATACAACTTACTAGGGAGGCTGAGGCAGGAGAACGACTGAATCCAGGGGACGTGGAGGTTGTGGTGAGCCGAGATCACTGCACTCCAACCAATTTACAACTCAGTATATTATTTGCAGCCGGGTGCCATGGTTCACACCTGTAATCGCAACACTTTGGGAGGGTGAGGTGGGCGGGTCACTTGAGGCCAGGAGTTGGAGACCAGCCTGGCCAACATGGTGAAACCCCGTCTCTACTAAAAATAAAATAATTAGCAGAATCAAGCTGATGTATCTTACCATTATGCTTTCTTGCTACAGGGATGTGGGGTTTCCACTGATCGGGACTTGATGTTGCGAAAAGCTTTATATGCACTGATGGAGAAGGGAGCTGAGAAGGAAGCATTGAAAAGGCGCTGGAGGTGGCAGCAGACACAGCAGAATAAAGAGGTGGGAGAGCTTGGGTGGGAACATCTTGTTTCCTAAAGTTACCTAGCTGCCAAAGTCACCTGGTGCCTGCCAGCAGAAAATATTTCCAGGGGCTTAGGTCAGTGTGACTCCCCTTATGATCCTGAAAATTGGAGAAAATGCAGTTAACACCATGGGGTAAATGCCTTCTTGTATGGTCATGAGAACTGGTGATGGGCAAAAGACCTACAGAGAGGCATCTAGCATTGTGCTTCTCCCCGATAGGTGCTTTACAACTTTAGTGGCAGTATTTTGCAAAATGAGTTAATGACAATTCCATTGGATTTTTGTATTTTTTTTTTTTTTTTGCTTGTAATAAGGCTAGATCAATTTTTAAAGACGTGTATTTCCAGCCCTTATAGGAATGTGAATGCTTAAAAATCTTCTTGGACATATATACCATTGGTTTTTTATATACTCAGTTTTAGTTTATTTTAAATTTTAAAAAGCGTTAAGGAGGCAGCATTCTAATCACACACAAAAAACATACCTGTTTCACTGAGTTTGAACAGTACTTCTCAGGAGTTTGACAAATGTTCAGGCTGCTTTTACATAAGGCAGTAACAGTGGATTGTTTGTACTTGCCCTCTCCATAACAGTGGTTGGGCAAACTATGGCTGTACTGTAATCCCAGCACTTTGGGAGGCCGAGGTGGGTGGATCACGAGGTCAGGAGTTCAAGACCAGCCTGGCCATCACGGTGAAACCCCATCTTAAAAAAAAAAAAAGTTGTATCAGAACACAGCCCTGTGCATTTCTTGGATGTTTACACCTGTAACTGCTTTCTTCCTCTAACAGCGGAGTAGTAACGTGTGGCCTGCAGAGCCTATGCTTATTGACTATCTAGCCCTTTACAGAAGAAGTTTGCTGATTACTTTCCTTCAATGATGACAGTATGCCTTTACATAAAATCAGTGAGGCTTCCTATTTCCTTTCCCTCTGATTCTGTGTACTGTGTTTATATCTCCTGCTCTTCATGTATATTTATTTTTTTGCCATGTTAGGACTGGATCTTGCTGGCATTGAATATGGTCATCTCTCTTTAGAAGCTTTCCTTTTGGGTCCACCTTTCTTTTTTTCTCATTTTATTGCTCTGTCATAACTGACAATAATATAGAAGATTTTTTTGTTTGTTTTAGTTATTTAGAATTTTATGTCCTGAAGATGTAATATGTCAGTAGAACACACTATGCTTCTTCCTCAAAAACAAATAAGCCAAGTTGTTAAAAGTAGGAGATATTAAGATCAGAATCCTGTCCCTGAGTAGCCAGTCTTCCCCAGAAGATTTCTTTTTTTTTTTTTTTGAGACGGAGTTTCGCTCTTGTTACCCAGGCTGGAGTGCAATGGCGCGATCTCGGCTCACCGCAACCTCCGCCTCCCTTCCCCAGAAGATTTCTAAGGGAAATCAACCCACAGGGGCAAGGCCACAGAAGTGACATTCTTTGTTAGCACCAGAAGCTTGGCTGGGTGTCGTGGAAGGCTTTTGCCTGAGCTAGAGCTAGCCTAGAATTGAGAACCCAAAGCACATCAGTCGTCAGCTTTGGCTTCTCCACTGTGGAGTTCACGTCATAGTGGAGCCTTAACCACGGCAGAGGCAGGAAAAGGCCAAACCAGAGCATGCCGACTGCTAAGTAGAAATGACAGCAACAGCCAGAGTGTAGGTGTGCCCTGTTCCAGTTATTAAAGGAATTAGTTACTCTTCTAAAGATGGGGTTAGATTATAATGGTATTTAGCCAGGAGACCCAGAAATACCCAAGTTCTATCCTTGGCCAGCTGGCCTTTCTGTCTCAAAGTCCCCAATATGCATACAGAATAGTGGCCAGGAATGGAGCAATCCTTTTACTCCTTTTGCTCAGCACAGTGAAAGTTCATATTGAAAATGTGGCCGGCCGGGCGCGGTGGCTCAAGCCTGTAATCCCAGCACTTTGGGAGGCCGAGGTGGGTGGATCACGAGGTCGAGAGATCGAGACCATCCTGGTCAACATGGTGAAACCCCGTCTCTACTAAAAATACAAAAAATCAGCTGGGCATGGTGGCACGTGCCTGTAATCCCAGCTACTCAGGAGGCTGAGGCAGGAGAATTGCCTGAACCCAGGAGGCGGAGGTTGCGGTGAGCCGAGATTGCGCCATTGCACTCCAGCCTGGGTAACAAGAGCGAAACTCCGTCTCAAAAAAAAAAAAAGAAAAGAAAAGAAAAAAAAGGAAAATGTGGCCTTCATAATTGTCTTAGCTTAAACCATTCATCGCATTATACCCACCTTGGGAGTGGGGATGGGAGGATGGGGGTGATCAACTGTGGAAGCTTCCTTTAGCTTCCCAATACCAAAACCACACTAAGTTTTGATTTCCTGAGCTTCCTTGTTTTGTGTTGAAATTGGTTGTGAGGCTCAGTAATAGTTTCTTAAATGTTAAGGCTAGAAGTGTACGCCACCTAGTGGCTTTGTACGTTAAAACAAGAAGCAGAAACGCGGAAGAGGGAGCCGGATCCCTCTGGATGTGTCCCTCGGAGTCACTGCAGCACTCCATAGAGAGCCTGGGTGTTACTCTCTTTATTTTCAATTGAAGTAAAATTTGTGATAGCATTTTACAAGTGGAAAATAGCTGTGTCATTTAAAAAATTCCCATTAAATTTGTTCCCAATGCCCCTCATGTTTCCAGAGATTCCTTCTGCTCTTGTCAGTGTGCAGTTAAGCAGCGTAGACTCATTTTATTACTAATGTCAGCCAGATAAAATTAATATGGTAAACTTACTTCCCATATCATTGTATACATCCTAAAGCCAATATATTTTAAAATTGCTTTACCACTGCCTGCTCTCCTTTGGTAAAAATTGTAGATTCACTTAGCACGTATTTATTGATTTCAGTCACAAAATAGGCCCTGGACGTACTGCATCAAACATGGTCCTAGAGTAGAGGAGGAGATGGACATGTAAATACATAATTGCAACAGGTCATAACATGTATGACTGTTACGATAGAAGTCTCTATAGCAGTTAATGCCAGCCAGGTGCGGTGGCTCACACCTGTAATCCCAGCACTTTGGGAGGCTGAGGAAGGGAGATCATAAGGTCAGGTGTTTGAGGCCAGCCTGGCCAACATGGGGAAACCCTGTCTCTACTAAATATACCAAAAATTAGCTGGGTGTGGTGATGGGTGCCTGTAATCCCAGCTACTTGGGAGGCTGAGGCAGGAGAATTGTTTAAACTCAGGAGGTGTAAGTTGCAGTGAGCGGAGATTAGGCAAAGGTTGCAGCAAGCCATTGCACTCCAGCCTGGGCAACTCCGACTAAAAAAAGAAATAAAGAAGTCTGGGCTGGAGAGGGAGATTTTGGAGTCATGAGCCATATATATGGTAGTGGGTGAGATTATGGCAGTAGAAGAGATCATCCAGAGGGAACCAAGGTGAAAATCATTAACACACCGTTAGTATTTTGGAGGTACACGGAGTTCAGAGAAATAAAAAGTAGTTTTATGGAAGCTAAAGGCAAAGAAAATTTAAAGAGAAAAATAAGCCATGTGAAGGCTAAAGAAGATGAGAACCAGGGATCACTGAATCTGGCAATTAGAGGGTTTTGCCAAAATCAGTTTTGCCAAATTCTTTGCCAAAATCAGGTAGGTGAAATGGTATGTGGCAGGTGGTTAAGCAGGATGGAGGGCAGAAACAGAGGACAGATTGCAATAGATCAAAACAGAATAGGTGATAAAGAAGTGTGAAAAAGATCATGGACTATTCTTTCATAGATCTTGACTATGAAAGAGGGAAGAGATTGGACTTGGTAGTACAATTTGTAGACCAAGTGCTAAGCGATTAGACAGTGGAGTAACAGTGAATAAGGTGGAATGGATATTGCCTCTTAAAACCCAGCCTCTGGTTGCTCAGTGTCTCCTACCTGTCTTCACACAGTCAGGGCTGGTATACACAGAGGATGAATGGCAGAAGGAGTGGAATGAACTCATCAAGCTTGCCTCCAGTGAACCCCGAATGCATCTCGGTACCAATGGAGCCAACTGTGGTGGGTAAGTAGGGCTAAGTGGGGGAGCAGGAAATCTTAAGTCATCATTGGGCTTCCACAGCCTAGTGTTTAGAGAGCTCTGTGCTAAGACATATTAGAAGGAAAGAGAGGAGCTATGCTAAGGGCACAAAAGTGTGTAACAACATGGTATGTTTAGGAACTACAGGTAGTTCACTATTGGACTGGAATACAAAGTAGCCCATCTAGATTTTGGAAACTTCAGGACATGACCCAATATTTTCAGTAAGTAAACTACAAGGAAAATAAAAAGGGACAAGGAACTTACAAGTTTAAATGCACTAAAAAGATATGTCAGGCTGGGTGCGGTATTTCATGCCTGTAATCTCAGCACTTTGAGAGGCTGAGGCAGGAGGATTGCTTGAGCCCAGGAGTTCGAATCCAGCCTTGGTAACATAGTGAGACTCTCTCTCTCTCTCTCTCTCTCTTTTTTTTTTTTTTTAAAGACAGAGTCTCGCTCTGTTGCCTGGGCTGGAGTGCAGTGGTGTGATCCCAGCTCACTGCAATCTCTGCCTCCTGGATTCAAGCGATTTTCTGCTTCAGCCTCCCAAGCAGCTGGGACTACAGGTGTGTGTCACCACGCCCAGCTAATTTTTATATTTTTGGTAGAGATGGGATTTCACCATTTTGGCCAGGCTGGTCTCGAACTCCTGGCCTCAAGTGATCCACCCACCTTGACTTCCCAAAGTGCTGGATTACAGGTGTGAGCCGCCATGCCTGGCCAGTGAGACCTCATCTTTACAAAGAAAAAAAAAAATTAGCCAGGCGTGGTGGTGCGTGCCTATAGTCCCAGCTACTTGGGAGGCTGAGATGGGAGGATTGCCTGAGCTGGGGTGATCGAGGCTGCACTGAGTTGTGACGGCACCCCTGCACTCCAGCCTGGGCAACAAAGAGAGACCCCTGTCTCTAAAAGAAAACAAAAAAGACATCAACCAGTTGGGATGTATGGAGATTATAAGACAGTTAAGGAAATGTGGATAATGTCTGTGTGTTTAATTATTGTTAACATTTTAAAGTATGATATTAATGGTATAATGGTTGTTTATAAAGGCAGTCCTTTATTTTTTCAGAGATAGAAACTGAAATACAATGGATGAAATTATGTAATCTCCAGGATTTGCTTCAAAATAGTCTGGCAAGAGCCCCATAGTCGGGGAGATAGGGAAATAGACTGAGTGTAGGTGAAACAAGGTTGAAGCCGGGTGGTGGGAACACAACTGTTGAGTATGTTATCATTTCTAGTATCGAACATGTTTACAATTTTGAAATTTTCCGTAGTAGTTAAAAATTCTGAACTACCCAGCTTTTATTGTACATACAAATAATCTGGGAGAATTATTTAAAATGCTGATTTCTGGATATCCACCCCAGAAAAGTCCAGTTGAGTTGGATGGAGCTAAGGCCCAGAAATCCTCATTTATAATAAGCATCCAGTGTTGAATAAAATTGCTTTAGGGGGTGGAAGCCATTGAATATTGAGTATGTGAATGACAGGAGCAAATTTCTCACTCCATATGTGGACACACTGACACCAGTAGATAATGAGTGGAAGGGAGTGAGAGAAGAGGCAGTTGTAGTAATCCAGGAAGAGGTCATGGACGTGAACGGCGTGGTGGACTGAAGATAGGCCAGGGGAGACGGGGAGGAAACACATAGGAGATGGCCTTGCTCAAACCAGGTGATTACTGGACGGTGGGAGATAAAGCACAGGAAATCGTTCACAGATTTCTGATTAGGCTACTGGGTAGATGGTGAGGTTGTTCTTTAAATGAGGGAACATAGGAAAAGAATTGTATTTGGCCTTTTTTGTAAGACATGAGTGTGCTGTGTGGGTGGTTGTAGTACATAAAGTAAGTAGGATAAAGTTATGCAGTTGTATATTGAGCTGCTGGATAAAGAAAATGGAGAGAGGTTATTGAAAGGAGGAATATTAAGAGATAGGGATTACCTCAAAATTCCTAATACTCTTTTAACCCCAGAGCCTTCAAATCTCTTTTCTTGGATTTCCCCATCTGTGAGACGGAAGTAGAAACAGCCATGGTAGCACAAAATAATCAGCTGTATCAGTGCAGCCTTAAGACTGGCTGGAAAACCAGGAAAGGACAATTCTCCTTTTCCCTTTCTGCAGAACGGGTCTTCAGGGTCTCCTGTTTCTGCTCTCTTCTATCGCACCCCTTCTACTCTCTCCCCTCCCGCCATTCCAGGGTGGAGAGTTCCGAGGAGCCTGTTTATGAGAGCCTTGAAGAGTTTCACGTCTTTGTCCTGGCTCATGTGCTTAGAAGGCCCATAGTCGTCGTAGCAGACACCATGCTGAGGGACTCTGGAGGGGAAGGTGAGTCAGCCAGTCAGTCCTCACTCCATCCTGATCAATCCCTTTTGCAAAGCCTTAGGCTAAGCATAGGAAGGAAGCGGGGAAATGGGATATATAGACCCTTGGGGGAAAAGCAAGGTATCAATTAGAATAGTGCAAAATTCTCAAGAGGTTCTGAGTAAAGCAGTTGGGATTAATTCACAGGGGTTCTTAGGAAAGAATTATTAAACATGTTGGAATAAAAGCAGGGACTCGGTTGGCAAAGTGGGGTGAAGGATTGTCCACTAGGCAGAAACACAGCCTTCACAATAATCTGCATGGTTTCCTGCAGCCTTTGCCCCTATTCCCTTCGGAGGAATCTATCTGCCCTTGGAGGTCCCAGCCAGCCAGTGTCACCGCTCCCCTCTGGTGCTCGCCTATGATCAGGCCCACTTTTCTGCACTCGTGTCCATGGAGCAGAAGGAGAATACCAAGGAGCAAGGTGCTGAATGACGTGTCTTTTGGTCTGCATTATTTCCACTTGGAAAAAATGGAATGAGATCTATGTGGGAGGAAAGAATTCAGTGACGTGCAAGCCCAGACAGCTCGTGTTGATACTGTTTTATTAAGCTATAAGTTATGTCAAGTTTTCAAATTAAAAAAAAAAGAAGGTTTGGGAGAGAAGCAAGACCTGTATTCCCTCTTCTGGAGTAAAGGCTTATGATTAAGGTGGTAGGACCTTCTAAATGATGGTTTGCTCTGTTTGTCTTAAATTACGACTGAATTCTCTGAATATACATTAACTGGAAAGAACATCATGAGAGTTACTTGACTGACTGGTGGGGACTCAGGGAGATTTGTGGCCTAAAGAGTATGCCGCATGGTAGGGGGAAAACTAGCCAATTGGTGTTAATGCTAGGGTAATTCACATGTAAGAATTGAGAAGTGACCACAATTAAAGACCTTAGTATGATTTTAGTGAAGTAAGTCTGTGTTCAGTTGCCTTTCTCTCTCCTCAAGGAGACTCCTTGATGATATGTTTCTTCCTCCCCAGCTGTGATCCCACTTACAGATTCAGAGTATAAGCTGCTGCCCTTGCACTTTGCTGTGGACCCTGGAAAGGGCTGGGAGTGGGGCAAAGATGACAGTGACAATGTCCGATTGGCCAGGTAAGCCAGGCCTAGTCTTTTCATCTACTTTGTAGCTGGGATCTCTTCGACATGCAGCATCCCATATGCCAGGGATTTTTTCTCAGCTCAGGCAAGACAGTTACAAGCTAAGGCCAGTTTCTTTAGAAAGATGGAGAGGTGGAAGACAGGTTGGGCACCGGACTCTTTCATCATGCAGCTGCTTTTTCTGCCTCTGAAAGAGATGGGAATCCTGGAATCTGAACTTGTTCTTTTTTTACAATAGGAAAAGTATTCTTACACTGATACGTTCCTAAAACAGTGATTAGAAAATCAGGATAATCAAGTCACATGTCTTAGCGCAAGTGAGAGAGTTGATCAAAATAGTTTGCTTTGAGTATTTGCCTCTCTGAAATTTAAACTAATAGTAAGAAAAATATGTTCCCTCCCTGACCAGCCCCCAGCCTGCCTCCCTGTGGCTTGTTAAGCCTTCCTTCTGCCTCCTGCCTCAGCTTCCTGCTGGAGAGTGTGTGAATTCGAAAGCTCCTCCGTTAACACTTACCCAGCGGTTCCTTCTCTGGGCTCCTGCCACTAGGTCACAGCTAAGACAGTTTGATTTTCAAATCCAGAGTTTATGGCTTTTTAAAAATAAGCTCTCACATATCAAAAGCTCCTTCTAAATAATGTTTACAACAACAACAACAACAACAACAACAACAACAACAGTGTAATGGCTGCTGCCTAGTATTTCCCGTTTTCCAGACACTGTGCTGGGCTCTTTCCAAACACCATTTTATCTTTACAACAAGCCCAAGGGATAGATACTATCTATACCAGGCGTCCCCAAACTACAGGCGCATGCGGCCCCCTGAGGCCATTTAGCCGGCCCCCCCGCCGCACTTCAGGAAGGGGCACCTCTTTCATTGGTGGTCAGTGAGAGGAGCACAGTATGTTGCAGCCCTCCAACGATCTGAGGGACAGATCGTTGCACCCTGTGTAAAAAGTTTGGGGATGCCTGATCTATACCATTCTCAGCTGCAACTGAGTTTCAGGGAGTTGGAAGTGACTTGCTCAAGGTCTGGAGAAATAGTTCAAACCCAGCCCTACTTGAGTCCCAAGCCATGTGACCCTCTCCCACCCTTCCTCCCAACTGTAGCACATTGCTTTGCTTTTAAAAGGTCGAAGTAATTTTTTCTTTTTTTTCTCTCTCTTTTTCTTAGTGTAATTCTGTCTCTAGAGGTCAAATTACATCTGCTACATAGCTACATGAATGTGAAGTGGATCCCACTGTCCTCTGATGCACAGGTGAAGACTTAACCCACATCTGCCCTGGTGTGTCCTCATTTTCAGTGACAGAACAGATTTGGGGCCATTTCCTTCTGAATCTGTTCTGAGTGGTAGCTTACAATTCAAGGTTAGAAGTAACTAGAAGATGTCAAATAAGTTTCAAAGACACTTTTTCCTGCTTTTTTTTTTTTTTTGAGATGGAGTCTTGTTCTGTCACCCAGGCTGGAGTGCAATGGCATGATCTCGGCTTACTGCAACCTCTGCCTCCTGGGTTCATGCAATTCTCCTGTCTCAGCCTCTTGAGTAGCTGGGATTACAGGCATGCGCCACCACACCTGGCTAATTTTTGTATTTTTAGTAGAGGAGGGGTTTCACCATGTTGGCCGGGCTGGTCTCGAATGCCTGACCTCAGGTGATCTGCCTGCCTCGGCTTCCCACAGTGCTGGGATTACAGGTGTGAGCCACTGTGCCTGGCCTTTCCTGCTTTTTTTTTTTTTTTTTGGAGAGGGAGTCTTGCTCTGTCATTCAGGCTGAAGTCCAGTGGCACAATCTTGGCTCATAGCAACCTCTGCTTCCCGGGTTCAAGCGATTCTCCTGCCTTAGCCTCATGAGTAGCTGGGATTACAGATGTGTGCCACAATACCCAGCTGATTTTTGTATTTTTAGTAGAGACAGGGTTTCACCATGTTGGCCAGGCTGGTCTCGAACTCCTGACCTCAGGTGAGCCACCTGCCTCAGCCTCCCAAAGTGCTAGGATTACAGGTGTGAGCCACTGTGCCTGGCCCTTTCCTGCTTTTTAAAAACCATTAGTCTCCTGTTTTCCACATCTCCTCTCCAATGAGCCTCTGTGATCTGATACTAAAACATACTCTTTTTATTATTATTAATTTTTGAGATGGAGTCTTGCTTGCCTAGGCTAGAGTGCAATGGCACGATCTTGGCTCACTGCAACTTCTGCCTCCCAGGTTCAAGCAATTTTCCTGCCTCAGCCTCCCTAGTAGCTGGGATTACAGGCACCTGCCACCACGCCCAGCTCATTTTTGTATTTTTAGTAGAGATGGTGTTTCACCATGTTGGTGAGGCTGGTCTCTAACTCCTGACCTCATGATCCGCCCGCCTCAGCCTCTGAAAGTGCTGGGATTATAGGCATGAGCCATTGTGCCCGACCTAAAACATATTCTTTAAGAAAGGTTTTCTGGACTGTTTGTTGAACTTGAGATGATCATTATTTTGTCCCAAGCCTTCTGTAGACAGACCTCTGTTTTGGGCACTAGGAAACAGAGTAGCTTAAAGAGCTCCTAATTCAGTGAGTTCTGAGTTACAACAGGAGCACAGGAGTAAGGGCAAATTGATGAAGTCCAGTGCAGAATGTATAAAAGTTGAGGGGATGCAGGCAGGGTGCGGTGGCTCACGCCTATAATCCCAGCACTTTGGGAGGCCGAGGCAGGCAGATCACGAGGTCAAGAGATCGAGACCATCCTGGCCAACATGGTGAAACCCCATCTCTACTAAAATATAAAAATTAGCTGGGTGTGGTGGCGCACATCTGTAGTCCCAGCTACTCGGGAGGCTGAGGCAGGAGAATTGCTTGAATCTGGGAGGTGGAGGTTACAGTGAGCCGAGATTGCGCCACTGCACTCCAGCCTGGTGCCTGGCGACAGAGCAAGACTCTGTCTCAAAAAAAAAAAAAGTTGAGAGGATGCAAAGTGGCTCGACTTGGTTGGTTCTTATTAGTCAAGACTTTCTTGAGATTAGTTTCGAGCAGAATTTGACAGAGAAATCTATAATAACATTGTAGCGTTTGGGCCTCTCACCCAGAAGCCACATATCATATGGTTGCTCATTGTTCTAAATGAGCAGAAATGTTTTATTCTGCTATCTCCTTATTATAGAAGGGAGTCAGATTGCAGCGGGTGAGAAAGCTGACTGACTGGAACGCAGAAAGGACAGTGCCATCCTGGGTGACCTTTCCCTCATCATGACAGCAGCCCTTCTCTGGAGCTAGGCAGTCACTTCAAGGACAGAGTTCTTAGGGGTCCACCCTTCTTCCTAGCCATGGCTGCGGGGAGCTCCCTGAGTGAGCCAGGCAGACGGGCTAGAGGTCCCTGTGGGCTTCCCCCACCCCAGGCTGCGGGGATAACTGTCAACAGTGCTCTTGTCTTTTCCAGGCTCCTCTGGCCCAGCCTGAGTCCCCCACCGCCTCGGCGGGAGACGAGCCCCGGTCCACTCCTGAGTCTGGAGACTCAGATAAGGAGTCAGTTGGCAGCAGCTCCACCAGCAATGAGGGCGGCCGGCGAAAGGAGAAGTCCAAGCGAGATCGGCAGAAGGACAAGAAGAGAGCAGACTCCGTGGCTAACAAGCTGGGCAGCTTTGGCAAGACCTTGGGCAGCAAGCTCAAAAAGAACATGGGAGGCCTGATGCACGGCAAGGGTTCAAAACCTGGAGGGGTGGGGACAGGGTCCGGGGGAGGCAGTGGCACTGAGACGCTGGAGAAGAAGAAGAAGAACGCACTGAAGAGCTGGAAGGGTGCTAAGGAGGAGGCGGCTGGGGACGGGCCTGTGTCTGAGAAGCCCCGAGCCGAGTCTGCCGGTGACGGAGGGAGCAGGTTCAGCCGGGAGGTGCTGCAGAGCCTGAGCATTCTGAGGACTGCCATGCAGGGGGAGGGGAGGTTCATTTTCGTTGGAACCCTGAAGATGGGTCACCGTCACCAGTATCAGGAGGAGATGATCCAGCGCTACCTTGCTGATGCTGAGGAGAGATTCCTGGCAGAACAGAAGCAGAAGGAGGCAGAGAGGAAGATCATGAATGGAGGAATAGCGAGTGGCCCTCCTCCAGCCAAAAAGCCAGAGCCGGATGCTGGGGAGGAGCAGCTGACTGGCCCCCCAGCAGAGTCCAAGGCAATGGCATTTTCTGCTGGCTACCCTGGGGGCTTTACTATCCCTCGGCCTTCTGGGGGTGGAGTCCACTGCCAGGAACCCCGGAGGCAGTTGGCAGGGGGTCCGTGTGTCGGGGGCCTACCACCATACGCCACCTTCCCCAGACAGTGCCCTCCTGGGCGACCCTACCCCCACCAGGACAGCATCCCTTCTCTGGAGCCAGGCAGTCAGTCTAAGGATGGAGTTCACAGGGGTGCACTGTTACCACCCTCCTACCGAGTGGCTGATTCCTATAGCAATGGCTACAGAGAGCCACCTGAGCCAGATGGATGGGCTGGAGGTCTCCGGGGGCTTCCCCCGACCCAGACCAAATGCAAACAACCGAACTGCAGCTTCTATGGACACCCTGAGACAAACAACTTCTGTTCCTGTTGTTACAGGGAAGAACTGAGGCGGAGGGAACGGGAGCCGGGTGGGGAGCTCCTGGTGCACAGGTTCTGAACAGTTGGAACACTGAAGGGCAAGGAGGCTGAACAAAGTTAAGCTCAACTAATTGGCTCATCAAAAACAGTCCCCATGCTGATGGGGCAAATGCAGTCATGTTTGCGGGAGCCTGGCTGGAAACTTAAGTGTGTGCGCACAGGAGTGCTGCCAGGCTGGCAGGAGCAGGCTGGGGCCGGATGGCGCCTCAAGGGCTGCACTATTTCTCTGCAGAGCTTGACTTTATGGGACTGAGGTACAAGGGGGAAAGATGGCGATTCTGTCTTACAACCTCCTGGGTCCCATCCGAGGACCTAAGAGAAAGTAGTAGGAGAAGGTTTGGTGTGTGGGGGTGGGAGGTGGGCAGAAGTCTTGGGGAGAAATGGGCAAAGGAAGTTCTCAGTCAATAAAAAATAGACCAAAGTTCTTTAGGATGGGGAAAGCACATGGTGGTGGAGTGGGAAGTGTGGAGAGGAAGCGGGAAATTGGACACGTTTGCTATTGATTTGAATTAAGGTAGAAATTAGGGTTGGATAAATTCTTCCCTTTGAAGGATCTGGAAAGACAAGGCAGTAATGTGTGCTCATGGGTGCCTGTGAGGAGGTGGGGGTGGTTTAAGTCCATTGGTTGAGATGGGAAAGGGAGGAACTTAAAAGGGAAATCGTTTTCCTCCTAAGCTTTACTTCCTCCGGTCGCGTGTCATCTGTTACAGTTTGAGAGGAGAGTGCTGATTACCCCCCATCTTTTCCTCATCTAAGTCTTGTATTTTTTTAAGTTCCCTGTGGGAAAGGGAAGAGCATAGTGAGAAGAGCAGTCATGTGTGTTGCATTTTCTCCAGGTGAATTGGGGCAGAGGTGATCTATTTTTTAACCATAGCAATAACCATACATTGGGGTTTGAGCACACCTTGGGAGGGGCGGGAGGACAGACATTTTAGCCAGATTGTTTCAAACAAAACCAAAAACCTAAATAGAGCACTACCATCCTCTGTGGCTGCTGCATTTCTGTAGAAAGAACTTATTTTATTGACTTTTTTTTTTTTTTTTTTTTTTTTTTTTTTTTTTAAGGAAAAGAAACAAAAAGACCCCAACAAGCAAAAACATTTTAAAAAATGATTTTTTTTTCTCCTACTTAAGTGGTTCCTTCTCCTTTTTCTCTACTTTTGGAGAATGAACTTTAACATCCCGGCTTCTTTTGTTAAGCCATAGCTGACCTTAATCTGTGGTTAGTTTATTAAAATAATAAAAAATACTTTGTAAGAAGAGATATTTTTGATATTAGGACTGATGTTGAAATATGGGGTAGGGATTAGGGGCAATTTATAAAAAGGTAGTTACAGAAATATATTTTAGTGAACTATAACCACAGAGCACAGATAACTCCCAATGAGCTGATCTGTCTTTAGATTTCTCCCTCTCCTTGACCCATCCCTGTTCTCCAGGGGCTGGGAGTGGGGATATGGACACAGTAGGGGGAGCTCCTTTGCATTTTGCACAAAGCACAAGTCTGGACAGCCTATGCTCTGGCCAGAGCCATTTCTAAGAGCTTTAAACCGGAAGGCACCATCCTGGGCCAAGTTTCCTTTTTCTTTATATTTTTTTCCGGGAAAAGTCAACTATGCAATTGTATACACTCCCGGGTGCATGTGAGGAAGGGGAATAAGTGTACTTAACGTGTCCAGAGTATTACCGGGCTGTTCTTCTGTGTTTGGATTTCTCTTTTGAGGTATGTACTGGTAACTCATCCCATGGAACATAATCCCCACATTTAATCTAAAGCAGTGGCACGTGCATGTGCGTGCGTGTGTGCGTGCATGCATGCGTGTGTCTTCCTTCTTTGTAGCTAGTCACGACTGTCCTTGTTGGAAATGCTCACGGTTTCGAAAAGTTCTTTTCTCCTCAAGAATCTCAGAAGTCACCTATGTAATTTCCTATGGCTACTAATTCTTGGGGTTTTCTTTGAAAATAGGTTTGTTTTAAGAAAGCAGTGAGATTCCAAAGGGAGGGATGTGTACATGTCTGGGCAGGTCTGGAACCTGGTATGCGATGAGCACTCCCCTAAGGTGCAAAATTTAAGGGGCTACCATAAAACTCATTCAGCAACATGCTTAAAAAAAAATGCAGTATTTTAAAAAATTATTGCAAAAAATTTATGTTGAATAAAGTAGCGAAATCTTACAGCATCTGACAGGACTGGGATTAGGAGGAGGGAAGTGAGGCTGAATTGAATAAGTATGGGGATGAATCCTCTTTATTTAAATATTTGATACATTGTCCATCATAGTTTTTTTACATTAATTTTGATTTTTTTTCCCTATGGATAGTTAAGATAAAGTGATGAATTAATTTTGATTTTTAAAAAATGTTGCATTAAAGTAGTATTCATCTTGGTTACTGGGTTTTTTTTGGCACTCTTTAAATTTTGTGCCCAAGGCGACTGCCTTGCTCACCTCACCCCAGTTACGTTCCTATTTCTGTGATTTGAACAACACTAGTGAGAACACCACTGCGTACGCCCCCGCCCCCATCACACACCAAACAACGGGTGGCTCAAACACCCTGAATTTGCACAACTCACCTAGCTTTCCTAATTTAGGCCTTCATACCATAGGATGCTGGCCTGGACCAATAGAAATTAAAACAGACCAGGGGTTTTCCCAGAGAATAAAGCCAGAAAAGTTTTGATTCTCCACTGGACTGCTGTGTTTGGATTTGATCTGTTACTAGATTCTAGTTAATAATTTTGTTTTTAAAAACTGAGGACAAACGAACAAAAACAAAACCTTGCGTCATGTTTGTTTTTGTTTCTATTTATAAATTAGCCAATCCCAGTTCCTTTTGCCTTCGTTTCAAATAAAAGATGGAAATTTTGAAGGGTGGTCTGGGGATTAATATGGTAAAATGGGGCTTTAGGCCTTATAGCTTTTTATTAAGAAATAAATTATTTTTTATTTGGGAAGGTAACTATTTATTGAGGCATTGAAAAACCTCTCCATTCTAAGGATGAAAGACCCTGAGACAACGGATATGTTTTTATAGGAGATAGCGAAGTTTGTTTTGCTTCATTATTTGGGAGAAGGGCTCAGTGGGATGTTGGGGAGGTGAAGGAATAATGCCTGGGAAAGTAATACAGACTCAGCTTGGTTTGCGGTCTTAGGGGAAGAGGAGGGAATAGAAGAGGCAAGCCCATGCCTTCACTGGACTGGGGAGAAGAAAAGGGGCATCTGACAGGCACTCAAAACGGGCAGAAAATTCCTTAGTTACAGAGCGGTATGTGGGTGAAGAGAGAAGGCGGACCCTTTAACCGTAGGTGAGGGATGATAGCATCTCTCAGACTTAAATTTAAGTGCACTTATTTCCTTTAATCCAGGGCAACTGGGGTACCTACTGAAGTTTTTAATGGAGGGAGCTTTTCAGGGTTCTTGTTTTTCCCCTTTTGATGTTAGTGCTCCTCCAATGGAGTAAGTGTTTCTGTAGGATACCTCCACATCTCCCTTAACCTATGCTGCGTTTATTGAAAGTTACGAGATTTAACCAGAAGTTTTCCCCCCATACTGGTTTTTATCAACAAAATAAAAAGTTATATCAAAAGATTTTTTAAAGATTCAGTCTTTTTAAGGAGTGGGGATGGTGTTGAACTCAGTGCTGTAGAGGGCCTTGGAAGGAAAGTACCTTCCCTCTATGAGCTCAGTTGTTTTTTGTTTGTTTGTTTGTTTTTTCCTCAAGCAAAACTAAAGCCCACAGACAAGAATTGGCAGTGACTTCTTGTGATGTATCTGTGGGGTGATACTGAGTCTGAAAGAATGAAGCTGGTTTTGAATGTGCTCTGAGAACCTAACTTTTGCCATTCTTCCTCCTTTTAGTCCTGTGTCCACGGTTCCAGTCACGTTTTTTCTTTCTCAGTAAAAGAGTATTTTCAGAGATGATTGTCCCTGAATTACTCAGACACCTCTGGACTCTGTGTCTTTTTTCTTTTCGGAGACAGAGTCTTGCTCAGTCGCCCAGGCTGGAGTGCAGTGGTGTGATCTTGGCTCACTGCAACCACCGTCTCCCGGGTTCAAGCCATTCTCCTGTCTCTGCCTCTTGAGTAGCTGGGATTACAGGCACCTGCCATCATGCCCAGCTCATACTTGTATTTTAGTACAAACAGTGTTTCACTATGTTGGCCAGGTGGTCTTGAATTCCTGACCTCGGGTGATCCACCCGCCTAGGCCTCCCGAAATGCCGGGGTTACAGGTATGAGCCACTGCATCCGGCCTCTGTTGAGTGAGTGCCCCAGACATACAGCCACAGGTGGGAAGAAGACAGACTTAGAAACACCGTCCCAGCCTGGAATCACCTGCACTCCAGATTTTTCTAATATCCTTCTTTCCCACCAGGCCTTTCAACTGTAGATTTGGATGAGTCATGTGGGCATTCTGTCTCTTACTGTGCAGACATCCAGTCTGCAAATCACGGGGTGTTTTTCCCCCATACATGAGTTGGGTGACAAAGTATTTATTACGATGTCCCCATGTAGACTTTCTCCGTGCCACCTCCTGCATCGGCCATGTGGGTAAGGGGCAGTAGAAAAGAGCAACGGAAGCTGGCAGGAGGAGGAGGAGTGGGGCTGGGAAGGAGCTTGGCCTCGTTCTGTGTTTATAAGTGGATCTGTGACTCATCCTGTGAGTCATTCAACTCCACCTCCCTCCTCCCGCTGCCCCTCCCAGCAGCCTTCCCTCCTGGCACAAACCTGCAGTCAGACCAAGATTCTGAAAATGGAAAAATCGGATATAGCCCCTTGCCTTTCTACCCTCTCCTTTATCTAGTACTACTGGGGATGTGTGGGGTGGTGACAGGAGTCAACCCTCAGCTCCTGCCCACTCCATTCCTGCTTAGGTGCTGATCCAAATCCAAATGGCCCAATTCTTTTCTCCCCTTGATTTCCCCATTTTTTTTTTTTTTTTTTTTTTTTTTTAAAGACAGGAGTTTTGCTCTTGTTGCCCAGGATGGAGTGCAATGGCCTTCACTGCAACCTCCGCCTCCTGGGTTCAAGCAATTCGGCCTCAGCCTCCTGAGTAGCTGGGATGACAGGCACCCACCTCATGCCTGACTAATTGTTGTAGGTTTTTTCGTTTCGTTTGTTTGTTTGCTTTTGCAGTAGAGATGGGATTTCATCATGTTGGTTAGGCTGGACTCAAACTCCTGACCTCAGGTGATGCGCCCACCTCGGCCCCCCCAAGGTGCTGGGACTATAGGCATGAGCCACCCCCCACCCCGATTTTTTTCTCTGTGTCCCTCCACTGTCTCCACACTTCAAAGTGCTAAAGAATAGAATGAGGCTCTTAAATGGAGCATAGTGGTGAGAAGGAAAGTGGATAATGGGATTTGAAAGTTGTAGTACACACCTCTTCCTATTTATTTATTTATTTTTTGAGGGAGTCTTGCTCTGTCGCCCAGGCTGGAGTATAATCATGAGATCTTGGCTCACTGGAACCTCCACTAAGCGATTCTCCTGCCTCAGCCTCTGGAGTAGCTGGGATTACAGGTGTGAGCCACCATTCCCAGCTAATTTTTTTTTTTTTTTTTTTTTTTTGAGACAGAGTCGCTCTGTTGCCCAGGCTGGAGTGCAATGGTGCGATCTCAGCTCACTGCAACCTTCGCCTCCTGGGTTCAAGCAATTCTGCCTCAGCTTCCCGAGTAGCTGGGACTACAGACGTGTGCCACCACGCCCAGCTTATTTTTGTATTTTTAGTAGAGATGGGGTTTCACCATGTTGGCCGGGCTGGTATCAAACTCCTGACCTCGTAATCCACCCACCTGGGCCTCCCAAACTGCTGGGACTACAGATGCGTGCCACTGAGCCCGGCTAATTTTTGTTTATTTAGTAGAGACAGGTTTTCACCATGTTGTCCAGGCTGGTCCTGAACTCCAGATCTCAAGTGATCTGCCCGCTTCGGCCTCCTAAAGTGCTGGGATTACAGGCGTGAGTCACCGCACCCGGCCCCCGTTTTCTTATTACGACAGAACTTGGAAGTATTTCCTTCCGCCAAGAGGTTGAGGCCCATGGAATGCATGGGAGTGAGATGGGGTGGGTGCTCTGTAGCCTTTAGGACTTCCAGACTCAGGCTTCTGGGCCGCCTTCCCAGCAGGTGTATTCCTCTTTGTTCCAGACTGACTTCCTGTCTCACAATATCTTCACTGTTTCCACAGTTGCAGCCAAGACAGGAAACTTTGAAAGCTGAGGCCACAAGGGTGGTGGACCAGGGGAGGAGAAAATGGAGTGTCACTTTGGAAAACTGGGGCCCCCACCTCTGTAGATTCAAAAGCAATAAAACAGCAGCTCATTAACTCTTAGTTTGTATTTTATTTTCTGTCTTTTTCATGTCTAAATAAAGATTTGTGCTTTGCTGTCCCCAAGTCCGCCTCCTTTAAAGGAGCGGCAGCTCCTTGGCTTCTGTCCTCGTGCCCAGCCTTCCTTACTCATCTTTGCCTCTTGGGTTGCAGATGGGAGGGACGGGAGATGGACTGTTGAGCTGAAGAGGTTTCCAGCCCTCACCTGGAAAGTCCGGAGCATGAATCATTCATTTAGAGATCTGGTGTCTGGGTTGGAGGGGTGGAGTCGCATACGGGAATCGGCACTGACAATTGGTTGAGCGGCTGCGTGCCGGGCAGGGTTAACTGCTCGATGTGTTCCTTGCACCTCCCACCCTCATGCCCAAGACTTGCACACAAACATACCTGCACTTGCGTCTGCATCTTGGACACATTTCCGTCTCTTCACACTTCTCCACTGCTTCTCCACACCTCACATGATGTCTGTTTCATGCCCTCTGCCGAAAGATACGCAAAAACGCTGTAACCAGTTTCCCTGCTTCCCCGCCTAATGCTTGGGCCTCTCCTGACAAAAATCCCCCCAGGTCTAATTTTCATTTTTTTCCGGAAGAGGTGGCAAGGAGGCTTGAACCACTTTCACGTTCCTACCCCTCTCCCCACCCCAAGCCCCTGTGAGAAGACAAAAGAACGGGGCTTCTAACAGAAATCATCCCTGAGACACTCCAGAGAGGTAGCCCAAATTATTCCAGTTTCATCATCAGTAGAACTGCTCCCCTCAAACGATCTCTGGGACTCATGAACAGGAAGAGAACAGGGTCTGGGATTGGGGTAAAGAAGGGAGTAGGTATTTTTCTCTCGGGCCCCCTGTCTCCCCCACCCGTCCGTCTCAGACCCCACGGTTTCCACTTCTCCAGAAGTGTGTGTATTCTCCTTTAAGGGGCTGGGCATCTCTCCCGCCCTCTCCAGAGTCGACTGAAGTTTCCGAGGCGACTTCTCAGGCTGGGCTGGACACACCTTTCCAGAGACCTCCAAACTCTGCTCCGTGCACCTCAAATGCTCCTCTCCCTTGTGTCCAACCCCCTCCCCCTCTCCCTATCACCCCTCTTCGCAACCAGACTCGCCTCTCCCCAGGGGGGTGAGCATCCTTGAGGTTTCCCACCTTGAAGCGCTCCGTCCCCGGATGGAGCCAGAGAAATGTGGTGGGGGGGCCGGGGCCAGAGTTTCAACATTGCCCCCCGGAAGGAGGAGCCAGAGATGGGGGTAAGGAGAAGGAATTTGGGGAGGTCGGCAAGAGGGTGAGAATGGGAATCAGGTGGAGGTAAAAGGGGGAAGCAAAGGCTGTAGAGGAGGCGGAGGGTGTGTCTGTGCGATCGGCTGCTGTTGATGGAGCCTGGTCTGCCTTTTTCACGGTCTCAAGTTCGTTGTCTGATTACCCATTAACCAGCCCCTCCCTTGACTGTCTGCCAGCCCGCCCTGGTCGGTCTGGAGCTTCCCATAGACACTGATCTCAGTTTCCCCCAGAGTGTGAGTGCAGGCCTCTGAAGGCAGCTGCCTCCGGGGAGGCCTAGGGGTTAACTTTATGCCCCCCTCAGCTCTCTGGACCAAAATCCGTCCAGGAAAGCAGGATGCCGGAGCCCCGGAGTCGTCAGCTCGGCAGTTGCCTGGCCTCCGGATGCCTCCCAGGTAATAATGCCCTGCCACGCTCTGCACACTCCTCCACATGGCATCCTGCACCCCTGCGGTTTCATGCCCTCACCAAAGATACCCTGTGTTCCTCTCCTGCCTCAACGTGCTTCGGCCTGAGGCTCGCTGTCCTCCCTGGCGGCTTCTGGAGCTGGCTGAGGGTTGGATGTGGACATTCCTTCTGTTTCCTTGACCCTGTTACCCCGTTTGAAATGTACTTATTTAATACATATTTAGTGCCTGGTATGTGCCAGGTCCTGTTCTAGGCTCTGTTCTAGTTACATAAATTTTTAAAAATGTATCTTTCCGCAGAAGCTTACATTCTAGAGGGCTTAGAGAAGGATTTTCATCAGCCCCATTTAGATCTCCCTGTCTCAGAAGAGTGGGTGTTTCCAAGTGTGGGCGACACTGGGAATAGTCATAACGGGGCTTCCCTTCTTTCCCTGTAGGGGAGCAGATCCTAGCATGGGCCCCAGGGGTGAGGAAGGGGCTGGAACCGGAATTGTCTGGAACCCTGATCTGCACCAACTTGAGGGTCACCTTCCAGCCCTGCGGCTGGCAGCGGGATCAGGTGAGATGGTTAGGGCAACAGAAATGACAGCTACTGGGAAATGGGAGGGAATTCTAGCAGGATTTACACAAACATTATGGGTTCGGGGCTGTCTTGTAAGTATCACTGAGAATCAATGGGAACTCTCTCTAGGGTGGTTGCCCCCTAGAGGGGCTGGGGCTGCCAGGGTAGGAAAATGAGGGCTATTTCAGATGTCGGTACCATCAGTCACGTGCTTCCTCTAGGATACTCCCTTGAGCAGTGAATACGATTTTGCCCTGGCCAACATTGGGCGATTGGAGGCTGGTGAGTTGGGGGGTTTTGGTGAAGAGTTCACCGGGGCTCCCTCCTCCTCCTCCTTCCTCTATTCTCAGAAAACAGCCAGGGATGGAGTGGGACGGGCTGGAAGCGTCCCTTCTGGAGGGACCCTGGTCCATACACTGCTCTGTACCTCTTGACTTCAGTGAGCGGCTTGTCCCGAGTCCAGCTCCTCCGTCCAGGGTCCCTGCTTAAATTTATCCCTGAGGAGATTCTGATTCACGGCCGAGACTTCCGGCTGCTCAGAGTTGCTTTTGAGGCTGGAGGCCTAGAGCCTCAGGCTTTTCAGGTAAGAGGCCCCTAACCTGAGGCTTCCTCCTCTCCCTGACAATTTCTGAGACTCCTCCAGCCCCCGGGATCGTCACATCATTCCCCCTGCTTCTCTCAAGGAAAGGCTGAAAGGCTGGGATAAATGATCTCGGAATGAGAGTAAGGAGCCTGCCCTCTAGCCTGACGCTGCAATTACCAGCAGCGTGACTGTGGGCGAGTTTCCTCCCAGAATGATCATTCTAGGATTCTGCGGTTCTAGATTTGTTCTCCCGACCCCAGTCCCCATGGCCTGAGGAAGCTCCCTTCTCTAGAGACCGTCTTCACTGGCCTTCTTTGTTCTTGGCAAAGAGAGTGGAGCAACACGTGGGCTCCGTTTCCTTCTCTTCGCTCAGCCTAAGCCAAAAGGATGGAATGTCCTTTCCTCCACAGGTGACCATGGCCATTGTCCAAGCCAGAGCTCACAGCAGTCAAGCCCAACAGTATTTGGGGATAACCCTGAGCAAGGCTGGTGAGTGAGGGCGCTTTAGGGTAAGGAAGAGTCTCAAAAAGCAGAGACGGCCTAGGACAAAGAGCTGAGAAGCTGTCTCTGGTTTTCTCCTTCCTCCTCCATGTCTCACTCCCGTTCCAGGCCAGGGTTCTGGCTCCAGAAAGCCACCAATTCCTCTCATGGAGACAGCGGAAGACTGGGAGACGGAGCGGAAGAAGCAGGGAGCCAGAGGCTGGAGGGTCAGCACGGTCAACGAGAGGTTCGACGTAGCCACCAGGTGATTGCCCAGTGCCCCCCAGCCCTGCTGCTCTCTCAGTCTTCCCTTAGTTCCTTGATCCCCTAAAGCTAGGGCTTCCCACAATCTCCAGCCTCCTAGGACGTCCACAGAGCTATCTCCCAGGCCGGGCGCGATGGCTCACGCCTGTAATCCCAGCCCTTAGGAAGGCCGAGGTGGGAGGATCACCTGAGGTCAGCAGTTTGAGACCAGCCTGACCAACAAGGAGAAACCCCGGCTCTACTAAAAATACAAAACATGAGCTGGGCATGGTGGCGCGTGCCTGTAATCCCAGCTACTCAGAAGACTGAGGCAGAAGAACCTGGGAGGTTGAGGTTGCGGTGAGCCGAGATCGCGCCATTGCACTACTCCAGCCTGGGCAACAAGAGTGAAACTCCATCTCAAAAAAAAAAAAAAAAACTATCTCCCTTACCTCCTAGATCCCTTAACCTGAGATCCCTTGGAGTGATCCCTCCGAAGCAGCTTCCTTATAATAACAGGTTTACATTATAATGAAGTCGCTGAGTCAAACTGTAACACCACGCTCATTTCACAGCCTCCCCCGTTACTTCTGGGTCCCTAATCGAATTCTGGACAGTGAGATCAGGAGAGCATTTGGCCACTTTCATCAGGGCCGTGGACCGGTCAGTGTGAGGGTCAGGGTAACAGCTGCGGATTAGAGGGTCATGGGAGGCTGGGGACCTGTGGAGGGAGGAAGCTCTGTGAAGCCAGCATGGGGGCAAGCGTAGCGTGGCTGGGCGTTTCTCCCACGGTGACCCTCTTCCGCTCCATCCGAAGCGCTTGTCCTGGCATCACCCTGGGGGCAGTGATCTTCTTCGCTGCGGAGGCTTCTATACAGCCAGTGACCCTAACAAGGAGGATATCAGGTGAGGGAGGCTTGATGAGAAGAATCAAGGGTTAGGTGCTCAGGACAGAGTCCTTCTCTGACTTCCTGACTCCTTCCCCTCCAGAGCAGTGGAGTCGATGCTCCAGGCTGGGCATTCGGACGTTGTCCTGGTGGACAGTATGGATGAGCTGCCAAGCCTTGCAGATGTCCAACTTGCCCACCTGAGGCTCAGGGCCCTCTGCCTGCCTGGTGAGAAAAACCTTTGCACCCTCACCCTCACCCGCAGTCTGCTGACCCTAACCTGGTCAACCCTTTGCTCGCTGTACACGAGCAGCTCTTTCGCCTCTCACCTCTCATCTCTCCCGCAGACTCATCGATTTCCTGTCTTCTTGACCCCAATTTATTCTTTTCTAAAACAGCTTTATTGAGACATACTGTACGTATCATAAAATTCACCCTTCACTGACATATACAATTCAGTGAGTTTTCTTATATTTACAATGTTGTACAACCATCACCACTGCTTAATTTTAGAAAACCATCCTGGCCATTTACGGTTACTTTTCGTTCCTATTTTTAACCCAGCAGGCTATCAACCTGAATCTTGAGTTCTCCTAATCTCTTTGCCCTCTGATCTCTCTGCCCTCGAACAGATTCATCTGTAGCTGACGATAAATGGCTTTCAGCCCTGGAAGGAACACGATGGCTGGACTATGTCAGGTATTTCCTCGCTTCTTCTAGCCATCATTAATAATTCAGCCTTCCTCAACCTTCTGCTAACCTGGACTCCTAAATGGCCTTTCATTAATTCTTCTCATCGGTTTCCCAAGAAGACTGCCATTTGCTGCTCGTTAGAAGGAGGAGGGGCAGGATTTGGAGTCGGCCTGGTTCCATCCCATGACCCATTCCCCTAGGCTTAGTATTCTCCCTCCCTCTTCCTCACCTGCTCCTCCAGGGCTTGCCTTCGAAAGGCCAGTGACATTTCTGTATTAGTGACATCCAGGGTTCGTTCTGTAATACTTCAAGGTGAGTTCCTTGGGTAAGGCCATTCCATTCTTTGCCTCTTTTCTTCACCCACCTGGCCAGATTGCATTCAGGGAGGGTGGACCCTAAGGCTTCCTCCTCTCCTGTTCCTGGGAACGGCCCACAAGCTCTACCTCTACCTTCAGTGCCACCTCGGCCCCCTACAGCCCTACGGCATGTGGACCCTGACACTAGGATGGTCTTAGCCCTTTGTTCCTTTCCTTCCATCAGTGGACGGGGACTGGGGTTGGGGTGGGAAGGGCAGTTTGGAAGCTGGTTTGAGAATTGTGATTCTGCCCCTTACATGTGAAACTGGGTATTTCTATCCGGGTGGAGTCTAGGAAGTGAATCATTCAAGGTCTTTGTTTTCTCTTCACTTCTGTGTGCTCTCTCAATCCTGCCCACCCCAAACCTTTCCCTGCTGTGCCTCCCACTTCTCCTTGCCATGTTTCTCTTCTCGTTCTCTCCTGCCCTAGTTTCTTGGACCCCTCTTCTTTGTCCCTTCCTCTTTATCACCCAGAGCGCGGTGATCGTGATCTCAATGGCCTCCTCTCTTCACTCGTCCAGCTGCTTTCAGCTCCTGAAGCCCGAACGCTGTTTGGCTTCCAATCACTAGTGCAGCGAGAGTGGGTGGCAGCTGGACACCCCTTCCTGACTCGGCTTGGGGGAACTGGGGCCAGTGAAGAGGTGAGAACAATTCGGGATGGCATTGGAGGGATGTCACTAAAGAAGTAAGAGAGCCGGGCGTGGTGGCTCACGCCTGTAATCCAAGCACTTTGGAGGCCAAGGCGGGCGGATCACCTGAGGTCGGGAGTTCAAGACCAGCCTGACCAACATGGTGAAACCCTGTCTTAAAAAAAAAAAAAAAAAAAGAAGAGAATGAGAATATTCTTTTGTATAATCCACTGGCG